TTTAACCCAACATGTTGAAAAAATATTTGACTTCCTTCTGTTTATCATTTACTGTCTTTATATAAATACTATTTAATACGATAGTTTGGTTTTCTTAAGATTTTTTTATTTTTTTGTTTTAAAACTTCAAACAAGAGTACTAGTATCAAAGTAAGTTTGTAGTTTGTAATTGCATTTGGAAAAAATTACCTACAATTTTTTTGATTATAGAAAAAATATTTGTTTTTTACTAAAAGAAGGATTACTATTGTTATTCAATTATTATAATTATTAGTATTATTATTGTTGTAAGTAGCAGTAGTAAATAAATGACAAGGGATTCAATATTTACTTGGATCAGAAAAGTTTCAGTAAAAAAGAAGTCCAGACATAAGATGGTAGGGAGGAAAGGAGGAGGAAAAGATAAAAGTCTATCAATTCTTGTCTTTCGAAGCTCGCAACCCGACAAAATCATTAACCCTTTCTAACCGAGGGCAGAATATTTCTTTACAAAGAGCCGAGAATAAAGATGACAGTTCACTATCGAGGGCATTGTCCTGAGATCAAAAGTGTACTATCTATATGTTAGCAGCTTCATTTTAAAATCTCACGAGAGCGCTTTAACAAAAAAAAAATCCTATCACGGTATTTCTTTCTTTTAAGAATTGTTTATATTCCCTTTGACATTGTTCGCCACCTCAATCAAACATTATTTTCTTTTTTTTTAATTATTGCTACTCAAAAATGCTCTTTTTCAGGTATTTGGCATTCTTGAGATATTCTCTTGCTTCTATTTTCACAATAACTGCAGAATTATATGCAATAATTAAATTGAAAAAATGTTGTTAATAAAACTAACAGAACTGTATGATTCTTGTTTATTTATGCAACATTAAATTTAAAAAAGAAAGAATTAAAGGAAGAACGAATGTAATAAAGAAATTCTTGGATGTAAACATATTTGAAAAATTTTTTTCATGACGAGATATTTGTAAAAACTAATTAATTCTAATTTTGTTTTTCTGTATTTATTAGAGAGGGTTTTCATTAAAATTTCAATAAATTTTCTTTTTTAAATAATTAGAAAAAAATTAATAATTATTGGCGTTATTTGAATTAACTCTTTTGAAGTAGTAAGAAAAGAAGTCCAGAAATATTATATTATTATATTATATTATTATTAATATTTGCTAATTTGATTCAGTGAGTGAATTTTTGCTTTTGTATTAGAATTTTACTAATAAATGGCCATTGTAAATTAAATTAAATTAAACATATGAAAAATTATTTAAACTTTTTTGAAGTTTCAGTGAGAAATCATTTAATTAAATTTTGAGAATTCAAGCTTCGCACTCATCTACTAAATAATAAAATTTCTACTGGAATTCAATTAATTTAAAATAGGATTTTCAAAAAAATTTCGAAAAAATCAATTATTTAACAAAATTTTTATACAATTCTTCACAATAATTCTATTACTTTCACCAATAATAACATTTTTCACTGAAATTCAATTATTTAAAATAAAATGTTCATAATATTTATTATATTTTAAAAGAAAATTAATTATTTCAAGCAATGTTTATAAAATTCTTATGAAAAATTCAGTTATTTTAAAAAATAACAAATTTTTTAACAGAAATTCAATTCTTTTTAAACATTTTAATAGAATTCTTCAAAAGAATTCAATTATTTTTGAAAATATTAATAAAATTCTTATCAACTATTCAATTATTTTCATAAATAATAAAATTCATTGCAAGATTTCAATTATTTTTAATATAATTTTACAGGAATTGCTGGAGAAATGTAATTATTCTTAAAAATTTAATTTCAATTCTTCGAAGAAATCAATTATTTAAAAAAATATTTTTTTTTAAAATTTTTTGGAAGAATATTTAAGTATTTACATATAAAATACCATACAGACATTCAATTATTGTCAAAAATTTTAATAGAATTCTTTGTAAAATTTAATTAGAATTTGCATAAAATTAAGTCGAAAGAAATTAATTATTTAAAATTTTTATAAAATTGTTCTCAGGAATTCAATTATTTTTGAAATTTTTAATAAAATTCTTATCAACTATTCAATTATTTTCATAGATAATAAAATTTATTGCAGGATTTCAATTATTTTTAATATAATTTTACAGGCATTGATGGATAAATGTAATTATTCTTAAAAATTTAATTTCAATTCCTCGAAAATCAATTATTTAAAAAAATTATTTTAATTCTTTGGAAGAATTTATTTATTTACAAGAATTTTAGAATTTTTCACAGGAATTCAATTATTTTCAAATATTTGAAGAAAACTATTTGAAAGAAATTAATTATTTTAAATACAATTTAAATTAAATTTTTTTGACATAATTCAATTATTCATTTAGATTTTAAAAAAATTCTTCCCAAGAATTCAATTATTTATATAAATGATTCTTCGCAAGAATTCAATTATGTCGATCGATAAATAGCAAAATTATTCCCGAAAATTCAATTATTTTGAGGCATTTTAATAAAATTCTTTGCAAAATTCAAATATTTTTATAAACAACAATATTCATCACAAGAATTCAATTATTTTTAAAAGTATTACATTTTGTTTTGGCAATTCAATTATTTAAACAAATTCTAATTAAACGTTCGCAAGAATTGAATTCCCAATGGGAAATTTACAACTGGCGTAGTACTGCGCCAGCACTGGCAGCACTGGCGGCAAGGCTGAGAGCCAGCACTGGCATGGCACTGGGATGATAACGCCGTCTGGCGCTGCCGAAGTACTGTCTGTCAGTGCTGCCAGGCAGCGCTGGCGCAGCACTGGATCAGTGCTGGCTGAGAATATTGCCGCAATAAATGCTGTATTGTTATTAATTAGTCGTAAATTAATAATTATAAATAATTTAACAACTAAATGGTAAATAATATTAATAAATATTTATTATTCATAAAATATTTCTCTTCTCAAAGAAATTGTATTAAAGATGGAGACTAACAATGGATATAGTAAATAAAGTAGAAAAAAATTGTTTATAACATCTAAAAATTAAATAATAAACAATTACAGTAAGTGTGCATTAGATTTTCATATTTTAGTACCTAACGAATGGAATCTAGAAATATCGCAAACCTATGAAAATAAACAAAATTTCTGACGAGGGGAATCGAACCTACGACCTACGGACTAACAGACTAACGCTCTAACCACTAAGCTAACGACACATGTGTACTGTAAAGTATTAACATCTCAGTATCATTCAGACATATAATTATTGAGTCAAAGATGAGAAAAAAATAGGGATACGTTAGAAATAATAAATTGAAATAAAATAAATTAAACTAAATTTTTAATAATGAAATTACTTTACTTATTGCATTTAACATTTTACGTAATTCTTAAATTACGTGGTAATTTTTTAATAATTTTTTATTCATAGTAAGAAGTATAATAGTATTTTAATAGGAACCAAATTATTATTGAGATTAAAGTTTAAATTTTGTTTATAATTTTAATTTGTTTAAATAATTTATTATTTACAAAATTAGACTATTGTGTTAAATTGTTATTATTAAATTTAATAAGAATAAAAAATGAACAACTGAAAAGTAAAATATTAATTTTTTTCAATAAATTTATATTTATAAACATTCATAAACTTTTTTTATAATTTTTTTCAAGTTTATGTCAAAAAAGCAACGTTGGCAAAGAGCGTTGTGAACAATTTTTCTATACTCAGCCAGCACTTGCCGCCGTGGCTTGTCCAAGCTTTGGCGAAACAAAAATTCTGTACTGCGCCAGCACTGATTGTCGAAGCTCGGCTAGACTACGCCGAACAATCGTCTGAGTACTAAGCCAGTGGTGAACATCGGCACTACACTGGCATTTCCCATTGGGTTATAATCATAATTAATAAAATGCTTTTAGGAATTCAATTATTTTCAAAAAATTTCAATAACATGTCACACATACATTTAATTATTGTCAAAAATTTTAATAGAATTCTTTGTAAAATTCAATTATTTTTAAAAACTTTTCGCAATTCAATGATTTTTAATATCTATGTTTATAAAATTTCCAAACAGAATTGAATTATTTAAAATTTTTTTTGTAAAAATCTTTGTAAGAATTCAATTCTTTTCATGAATAATAAAAATTTCTCAGGAATTCAATTATTTAAAAATGTTTATAAAATTCTTCGCAAAGAACTAAATTATTTTTTTAAATATTTAAATTCTTTCATGAATAATAAAATTTGTTGAAGAAATTAAATTTATTAGCTGCAGAAGAAAGAATTAAATATTTTTTTATGAAAATTAGGAAATAGTTAGAAAAATGAAATATAGAATGAATTTTTTGTCAGTTTTGTAAAGTTTCTAAATAAAATGAGTTTTTTTGGTCGTCAAGTTTAATTTTTCGATAGCTATTTTTTTACTACTTTTTTTAGTTTGAAAGCTTATTTTTTAAAAATTAATTATCAAGTGCAAAGTCTGAGAATTGAAAATTGAATTATTGACAAAGAAGATCTATTATAATAATAAATAAGTTGAAGTAAAATATTGAAAACTAATTTTAAAGAAAAATAATACGGAGAAATTAAATATTCATTTAAACAGTAAAAATCGATTGATTTACTATCTTTTTTTTTCTCCTCCAGTTCTTTACTCTGATCGGAATATCGGATGATAGGTGAGCGAAAAGGTTCACTTGGTCGAATCGTGTTTCCTGCTGAGTAATTTCAGATAATATAGAAAGAGAGCGAGAGAGAGGGAGGGAAAAAGGAAGGAAATCGTATTTCACCCCAATTTCGTTTTTTCTTGACTTGAACCTTGACGAAAATGCACTCATTTTATTTGTCCTCTTTTTGCAAGAGTTTACAAGAGAAATAGGGAGAGAGAGAGAGAGAGAAAGAGGGAGTTTTTAGAAATGAAATGAGACCGTTTACTGTTCCCCAAATAATGCTTTGCAATTCTCTATTTCTGTTTCTGTGTATAGTACATGTTTCATAGAGGATTCTACTTACATCACTCCATTGTCCTGTTTCCCACGTAGGACATGAGAATTCATTACAACTCTCTTGGTATCTCGGTTTATGCGTGGCACTGCATTTGTAGTCTGGAAGCTGTATCAAAGAGAAAGAAAATTAACACTGGAGTCTCAAATATTTTATTATAAATATTTCGACAAATGTGATAATAAACAAGACATTTTGCTGTTTTCAAAATAATTTGCTTATTTTTTTTTTTTAATTTTTGCACGCATTAAAAATTAATTGTAAAGTTTCAAAATGTTTTTAATTACGTTTTTATTTCTAATGCAATCGGTAATTATTGAAAATATTTATGGCGAAAGAATATTTCTTTTATTTTAACGTTCAAAAATTTTTGAAAATAGGACTAATTTTCAAAAATATGGGAGAACAGAAAAATATTTTGATTTTTATAAAAATGTAGGTAAAATTTCTTGACCTTTGTTGTTTCGTTACCGATTTCTTCGATACAGAAAACAGCCCTCGATCTTGAACCGCCTCCACAACTTGCACTGCACTTGCCATATTCATTTGTTGCCCATCTATAAAAAAAACGGTTTCTATTTTTTCTCTCTCAAATAAAATTATTACTGTGAATAAAAATTAATAAAAATTGAATGATAATTAAAATATTGGTAAATTTCACAATACGTTTATAATCAATAATATAGAAAAAAATATGTTTCCATTCGAATTTTTGTCTATATTAAATTTATTACTTATAGTCTATGAACAAAAATTACATAAACATAATCAAAAATTCAATTCGTTTAAATTTCGATTAAATTAAAAAAATCCGATATTAATAATTAAAATAGTAATAAAAAATAATTGTAAACAATAAAAACGTCTGGAAATTGTTTCTAAATTCAAATTTGTTTTTAGTAGTCGGTTCAAAAATATTTGTTCATTATTATAAAAAAAAAAGTTATCGAGTATATGCGGGAAAATTTGTTGAGCAGACGGTTCATATAATTCGCGTGAGGCAGTTTCTTCTTAATATAGATTAGCAGCATCACTTTTTTTTATTATTTTTTTTTTTTTTTAATATAGATGCTGTGTTGTAGCCAGAGGCAACCAGTTTTCATGGGATGCCCAGACGGATCTATCGATCGTCTCTCTTGTGGTCGTCATTTATTTTTACCTGTGCAAAAAACACTTTTAAGAAAAAGCAACGTCGTTTTCACGGTTTCTCTCTTGTACGAGACAACTTTTGTCTGTCGGGAACGCATGTTACCACCGCGTAAAAGAAAAAGCGAAAGAAAACTAGCAAGGGAGAGAAACAGAGTTAGAGAAAAAAAAGAAGGGGGCGGATAAATTTCAAAGAAACTCATGTTGCCAGAAAGACATTCTGAAAGTAAAGATTCTTATCCTCTATGAATCATCATCAAAAAAGGAGAGGAAAAATTTTATTTGTGTAGAAATATATATATAAATATAAATAAATATAAATGTATATAAATATAAATTTATAAATACATATAAATATGAATAAAAATAATCTGGAAAACCTGGAAATGTCAGGGAATTTTATAAACCTTGAAAAAATTTGGAAAAGTCAGGGAATTTTAATCAAAAATCCTGGAAAATTGTTGTTTTCTAAAATTATTGTGTTTATTCTTAAAATCTATTTTCACTTAAATATTTGAAAATTAATTAAATTTTAAAAGAATTGCGTTTAAAATTTTAATTAATTAATTAATTTTTAATTAATTTAAATTTTTAATTAATTTAGTAATTAATTAAAAATTAATTAATTATTTTTAATTAATTTAGTATTTATTTTAATTAATTAATTTAAATTTAATTTTTTTAATTAATTTTTTAATTAATTTAATTTTAATTTTTTTTTTCATAAGTAAATGAACTTCAAAAGATTTTGATTTAAAATTTTGTAAAATTTCAATTTTAAATGAATTTAATTAGAAATATAAAAAAACTTAGATTTAAAAAAAAAAAAATTTAAACTAAAATTCTTCTGAAATTAGTTAAAGTTTTTAATATCTATTTAACTAGTATTATTAAAAATAATGGATTTATAGAAGAATTTTAGTTAAAAACACTAAAACAAATTGAATTTTGAAGCAACTAGAAATGATTGAAGAATATTCAATTATTTTCAAAAGTAGTAAAATTCTTCTCAGAAATTCAATTATTTTCAAAAATCAAATTTAATCTTGTCAAAATTTTAATTATTTTCAAAAACTTTCCTCAATTGAATGATTTTTAATATCTAGTACTTTAATAAAAATTCCTGAATGAATTCAATTAGTTAAAAATTTTTTTAAATAAAATTCTACACAAAGATTTAATTATTTTCATAAATAATAAAAGTTTCACGCAGGAATTCAATTATTTACAAATTATTTTCATATATTATTCAATTATTTTCATGAATAATAACATTTTATACAGGGATTCAATTATTTTCATAAATAATAAAACTCAATGCTGAATTTCAATTATTTTTAATTTACAATATTAATGGAATTCCTCGAAAAAGTTATTATTCGTAAAAATTTTATTAAAATTTATCAAAGAAATTTAATTATTTTAATAAGCTTTGCTACAATTTATTTATTAGAATTTAAGTATTATTTTCAATACATTTTTAATTAAATTTCTTTAAAGAATAAAATTATTTTCAAAAATTTTAATGAACTTCTTTGCGTAACAATTCAATTTTTTCAAAATAATTTTAATAAAATTCTTCGCAGAAATCCAATTACATATGTTCAAAAATTTACAAAAATTCTCGTCAGAATTTCAATTATCTTTATAAATAATAATAAAATTTTTCTCCGAAATTCAATTATTTTTAAAACTTTTAATAAAATTCTTGGCAGAATTTCAATTATTTTTAATACAATTTTTATCAAATTTCTCGAAAATTGCAATTATTCTTAAAAATTTTATTAAAATTTGTCAAGAGAATTCAATTATTTAAAAATTTGTTGATAAAATTCTTTAATGAAAATTCAAATTTTAAGAAACATTGAATTGTTTAATAAAATATTTATTTTTATAGTTAAATAATTAAATTCTCATAGAATTTTCTAATAAATATTGATTTAAAAATGAATTTGAGCCAATTTTAAATTTTGATATGCGAAGAAAAAGAAGTTTTATTTTGATTTAATCAATATTTCATAAATTTGTGTCAAGTTTTTTTTCCACCTTTTTCGCGGGTTTTGTAAATTAATAGAATTATGCAATAGAGTTGTTTAATGTTGTGTGTGTGACATGGTGAAGTAGAAAAGTACCTGTGGAATTACTTAGTTCCCTTGGGTGGTGCCAACAGTGTGAAACTGAATTAAACTAAATTCGAGAGTAAAGCAATTAGTGTGATTTAACAGGACGTAACATTGGCTTTGATTTATTTAACAATAACACCAGAGTCTAAACAACAATATCGTTTTTCATTTTTTTTTCGAAATTACTGCGAGTGTTAGTTCACTGTTTAGTAGAAAGTAATTATTAATTACTGATTGTAGGCTAAAAATTATTAATTAGAAATTGTAAAATTAGTAAATGAATTAAATTAAATTTATTGAACAAGCAATATTAAAAGGAAAAATTACTAATTATATTAATTATTATTATATTAATTACTAATTATATTTCTATATAATTATTCAATTATTATTTACTCAATTGTTAATTTTGATCCGAGGCCTGTTATAAGAAAATAATTATTTTTACACACTCACTTTGTTGTACAAGAATGTGTGTTGCATGGCATTAGAACCTTTTCCGGTTTTATGCTCGGATCACAATTAGATTCATCAGTTTCGGTTTCATCAGGTCCAGTTGATTTGCATACTGCTCGTGCTATTTTATAACCTGAAATCATTATTTCTATGTATTAATATTTAACAATATTCAATAATTCCTCATTTCTGTTTGTTTATAAAATTGTGTCGAATTCAATTTTATGCATATATATATATTATTCTGTTAGGAAATTTAATTATTATTCTTCTTCATTTGATTTCATTGTAGATTACACATATTCTTCCATAATGAAATTCGATTAATTTTTCATTAATTCTGCCAATTATAATTTTCAATGTAAATTATACATATTTTTCCATAATATGAAATTTAATTAATTTTTGACGAATTCTAACAATTATAATTTATTTATTTATATTTGTTTATTCATACGTTTCCTGTGGTACATTGAGATCATAAATGGGTAATAATTATAAATTTAAATACTAGATATGAAATTTAATTATTGTTTTTATGAGATTTAATTAGATTTTTATAAAAAGAATAATATTATAAATTTTTTTTTTATTCAAGATATATTTATTTTTCGTATTTAATTTTATTATATTTGATTAATAATAATTGACATTTAATTAGTAACTGGTAGCAAGGATGAGTAATATAACGTTTAAATATTAGGTATAAAAAAAAGGAAAATTGAATTTTTTTCGATATTGAGAGGTATGTTTCTATTATAAATTATGGGGTACAAAGTATTTAAAGTATATATAGTACACGGGGAAGATTAAAATGCTTGTAATTGAAGAAAGGATTAAGTGGTGTTTAAATGTGTCTTACCTCCGCCACATGATTCGGTACAAGCAGAAGCTGGTTCTAGGACCCAACTATATCTTCCGTGACAACTTGATCCATTTCCGCCACAAACACCGCACACGTCAGTCTTTTTATTACTTCCTATCCTGAGATCACATCCCACTTTCTGAAACAAATTATAACAAAAGTTAGTCAAATTATTTTTTCTCTCATTTATTTATTTATTATTTATTTTCCCCTGATTTGTTAGAAGTATTTGCTTTTAGATAAATTTCTATTATTTATTTTATTCATTTTATTTATTTCATTTTATAACAATTATAAATAATTTAATATAATATTTAATACAATAACTAGGAACAATTCGCGCGCGGCTGACATCTCTCTCACTTTTTTAAAAATAAAATTAGCAATTTTAAAAGAAAATAGAATGTAAAAATTTTTTTAATTCAGATTTTTTTTCTAAAAATAAAATATGTTTTAATATTATTATAATTATAGTAATTAATATTCTGACATAGGGAATATGTCAGGGAAAAGTCAGGAATTTTTATGAGAAGTACTGAAAAAAATTAAATTTTTAGAATTCATAAGAAAATTCTGAATTTTTGTCTTTTTTGCTTGACTCATAAACTATAAAATTACCACGAATTCTAATAGGTACAAAACCTTAAAAAAAATTTTCTATTTCCGACAGGAATCAATTTTTTAATATTATTTAATTATTTCAAAAGTTTTAATGCAATTATATTGATAAATAATAAAATTCTTCACAGAAATTCAATTATTTTCAAAAGTAATAAATTTTTTATCACAAAATTCAATTATTTTCAAAATTTACAAAAAAATCTCGACAAAATTTCAATTATTTTCAAAAATTTTCCTCATTTAAATGATTTTCAATATATACTATTTTAATAAAAATTACCCAAAAGAATTAAATTATTTAAAAACAGTTTTAATAAAATTGTACGCAAACATTTAATTATTTTTAGAAATAATAAAACTCATCGGAGAATTTAAATTATTTTCAATACAGTTTTCATTAAATTTCTGAAAAGAAATTAATTATTTTTAAAATTTTGAATACAATTCTTCGAAGAAATTCAATTTCAAAATTGTTTATAAAATTCTTTGTGTAAGAAAAATTAGAATTGAATTATTATTTTCAAAAATTTCTAATTCTTTAAAGTAATTCAATTATTTTCAATATAATTTTATTATAATTTTTGAAGGAATTCAATTATTTTCAGAAATAATAAAATTCTTCGCAGGAATTTAATTATTTTGAATAAAATTTTAATAAAATGTCTCAAAAAAAAACCAATTATTTCCATAAATAATATAATTCTTTGCAAAGATTCAATTATTTTCAGAAATAATAAAACTCATCGGAGAATTTAAAATTTAAATTATTTTTAATTGCAATTTTAATCGAATTTCTTGAAAAATGTAACTATTCTAAAAAATGTTATTCAAATTCGACCAAAAGACTTCAATTATTTAAAAATTTGTTTAAAAAATTGTTTATAAGAATTAAATTTCAAGAAACATTTAATTATTTAATAAGTTATTTATTTCTTTATTTAAATAATTAAATTCTCGTAGAATTTTCTTATAAAAATTGATTTGAAAATGAATTCTATTTCCTACTTCTTAATAAAAATTTGTAAACAATTAACAATTTTCTAGTACCTATTTTTTATAAATAAAAAGGAGAATAATTTGCATTATAATTTAGATCAGTCAAACTAAATTTGTTATAGAAAAAAACATATTACAAACAAAATGGGTATATTTTTTATTTTTTAATCATAATTTTTTTCAAAATTTTCAAATTTGTAATATCAATTTATTATAAATCATGAAAAAATACCTGCATATTTTCGATTTGTGAAACAATATTTTTTAAAGAAAAAATTATGATTCCTGATAAAATGTAATATTCTTAAGTCCCTCATTTTACAGCGTACAAACTATATCTATAAAATATATAAAAGTAAAAGAGAGAGAGAGAGAGAGAATTTGTCAAGTGAAAAGTTTCGGATTCGCAGTGAAATATTTTCCATGATAAACAACTCTTGGAAGTCAAACTTGGTAGTTAAAATCCTTGGACTTCGACAGACCCTTCAAAACTAAAAATTTAGCTACAAGAAACTTGCAAAAGTTGTTAACGATTCGATGAGAAATTCTAAAAAAAAACTCTCCACGCAAAACTTTCCAAGAATTGTCAAAGTAGGACATGCGATGCAATATTTTTTAAAATCTGTGAGATTTTACACCTGTTTCCTCGCGTAATGTTTTGAAAAAAAAATCCTCTCAAAAAAATTTATTTAATTTTCAAATATCACTCTCAACAATTTTTCCAACACTATATTTCGGGAAAAATGTTTAAAAACTGATTTCATAGAAAGGAAACAAATTTTTTTTTGTAAAATCCATCAATTTTTAGTTTACAAATGGTTTAATTGTTCTTTAAAAATTTTGTACAAAAGGTTAATTAAATCCCTTCAGTAGAAAAAAAAAATATTTTTATTAAATTGATCTTTCTTTTATAATTGAATTTTTTTTTGTTTTATTTTATTTCTAAAAAAAATGAGTTTTCTGCAAACATAAAATAATTTAAAATCAACTCGGCTATGAATTTTACTATATTCGTGAAATAATTTTCCCTCTCGCGATATTTTAATGAGTTTTATATTTAAAAAAGAAAATTCGAATGGTCTGGTATAGAAGAGTGTTCTATATAAAATTATCTAAATACAATCAGATTTCTTAATGAGTGTAACGATTATATTGTTGATGTGGATAAAAGGTACACATTTACTATATATATATAAAAACGTTTATTTGCCAATAATCCAATAATTACCGTTGTTTGAGAAACTCGTATTTGAAAATTGTTTTTTCCCTTTGATAATGTTCGGCTCCTATTAGTTTCAAAGGAGTTTGTTTGATAACTTTGTCGAACATAACCGATTGTTTCATCAGCCTTTCCAATTACAACTCCGTTTACTGGGCGATACTGTTTTCCCAGCAAGAGCAAACATAATTTCGGAAACGATAGCGTCTTCCTTCTACGCGAAATGTCCCTCCAACTCAATATCTGAACTCAGTCATACATATATCTATGTAACTATCATTTCAGATGAGATCAATTACAGTGAGGGCAAATAATGTCAATTCTCTTGCAATCAAAGATTTTTTCATTTTTCACTAATATTTTCATTTTAATTACATTTTTATATTTATGGCAAAACAAAAAATAATATTTGTAAAAATAATTATTTTCTGAAAAAGAAATTCAAGAATTTTTCATTTTATTTTATACTATTTTGTCTTCTAAATAAGTATTTTCTTATAGTGAGGGAAAAATTTTATTTGAAGCAAATATAATTTATTTCACGGTTACCACAGGTCAGGAAATTCAGGGAAAGTAGAATTGGTCAGGGAAATCAGAGAAAAGTCAAAGATTTAATTATTAAATTTTTAGAATTCATAATAAAAATTTATAATTTTAGTTTATTTTTTTCTTTGGCTCATAAACTATGAAATTACCACGAATTCTAATACAAAACCTTCAATTTTTTCTATTTTTGATAATAATCTTTTTTTAAATAACTTAATTCTTGAAGAACTATCGTAAAATTATTAATTATAAATTATTTAATGAATAATTTTACTTAAATGTTTCAAAATTAATTAAATTTTAAAAGAGTCGCGTTTACAATCTTCATAAATAGATGAACTTTAAAAGGTTTTAATTTGAAATTTTATAAAATTTCAATCTTGAATGAATTTAATTATAAATTTTAAAGAACTTTAATTTTCGAAACATTTTAATAATTCAAATTCTTCTAAATTTATTTAATTTTTTTAATATACATTCAATTAATTAGTAAAAATAATGGATTTTTAGAAGAATTTTGGTTAAAAACATTAACAAAATTGAATTTTGGAGAAAATACAAATAGAATTGAAGATATTTCAATTATTTTCAAAAGTAATTAAAATCTTCGCAAAAATTCAATTATGTTCAAAAATGTTTAAAAAATCGTGAAAATTTCATTTACTTTTATAAATAATAAAATTCTGCTCTGAAATTCAATTATTTTCGAAAATTTTAATAAAATTCTTGTCAAAATTTCAATTATTTTAAAAAATTTTCCTCAATTCATTGATTTTTAATATCTCCAAAATTCAAAATAATAAAAATTTAACAGAAATTCAATTATTTACAAATTGTTTTATAAAGTTCTTCGCAATAATTCAATTATTTTTATAAATAATGAAGTTTTTTACAAGGATTCAATTATTTTTATAAATAATAATATTCTCTTTATGACTTCAATTATTTTCATAATAATAAAACTCATTGTATGTAAATAATTGAATTTTCGTTGAACTTTCAAGGACGAATTGATTTAAAAATAAATTTCAATTTACGTTTTAGATAATAATTGAATATTTAAATAAATTATTTTTAATAAATTTATTATTAAAAATATTTAATAAATTTCTTTGCCAGCAATCAATTATTTTTACAAAAAATAAAAATCTTCGCAGGAATTCAATTATTTTAAAAAGATTTTACTTTAATTCATTGCAAGGATTCAATTATTTTTATAAATAATAAAATCCTTTGCCGAATTTCAATTATCTTTATTTCAATTTCAAATAAATTCTTTGAAAAATGCAATTATTTTTATAAATTTCGTTAAAATTCTTCAAAAAAAAAATCAATTTTTATAAATTTTAATAACATTTTTTAGAAAAAATCAATTCTTAAAAATTTTAATAAATTTTTTAGAGGAATTCAATTTTATGAAGTAATCAAATATTAAATCAATTATTAATTTTTGTATGGAAAAAATTATATTCTCGTAGATCTTTCTAAGAAACGATTTTTGGAAATAAATTTCAGTTAAAATTTTAGATAATAATAGAATATTTATTTAAATATTTAAAAAATTCAATTATTTAATAAACATTTCATGAAATTCTTTGCAAGTATTCAATTATTTTTTACAAATAATAAATTTCTTCTCAGGAATTCAATTATTTTTGTAAATAATAAAAACTTTTGCAGAAGTTCGATTATTTTTAATTCAATTTCAAATAAATTCCTCGAAAAATGCAATTATTCACAAAAATTCTTTTAAAATT